ACAACATAAATGATATACGATTTCTCGTTTCAGTCATACAATTAAAAGTAAAACTAAATTATTTTACATTTCATACGGTATTAATTTTGATGCATTCGCTGTGTATATGAGACTAATTTATCATTTTGGATGTTATAGTTTTAAACATAGTATTTATTGAGATAGTGATTATTTATTGTAAATTTACGTCTATTTAAATTCATTAATGTTATTTACGGAAATAAAAATGTATTTTTAACATTTAGTACATTAGATAAATCATAGTAGGATTAGATCATATGTAAAAACATTCATTTTTAACCACAATTCAATATGAAAATTGTGGTTTATAGGATCGAGCCATCAAGGTTCAATTATGCATGTTTACAGAATTGATAATAAATATTGGCATAATAAACAAAATTGCAAAATATATAAATAATTTCATTTTTATTATCATCATTATTTGTCATTCAATAAATTTCATGTCATATATTTATTAACAACCATATTGTCGGTGCAAACTTAGTTTACTGTCACAGTACTAGCGGTGCCATTCGGTTCGGCTCCCAAACTGGCCATATCTTGTGTGACAGTATTGATGTCCGGGGCGTTAGTTGTGGCCAAACCAGTGCCTTCACATCCGGCCGTTGCGTTCCGGCACCACATGTCTGATGGACCTGAGCGACAGCCGCCGTCACAATTGCAGCCAAATACATTGCATTTGCCCACGCCGCAATAGATATCTGCCTTGGTACAATCGAAACATGTTGGACCCTGGTCAGGACATTTCAGGGGCGAGTAACAGCATTCGGCAGCTGATTGGTCAATAAAGTTTATTGATATAACGGCAGCTAGTAGAATTACAAAACTAAGCTTTGAATCCATGATGCTTATTTATGTTTTGTTTTAGTTGGAATAAAAATTACCATAAATATAATGTTATTACAATATATATTACGATAAATAATATGATATTATATTTTTAAACAATAATATAAAATATAAGTCGAATATACTTACAATTTATTAATAATTAATATTTATAAATTATTCAGATATGTTAACAGTTATAAATTTACTCTGTTTGGCTTGATCAGTTATAATTTTATTTATTTTAAATAAAACACACATTTGTTTGTATAGAATTATGTCACATTAATTGTTTGTGTGTAAAGATTCAAGTGTTTTTAGCCAGATTCATTTGAAATCTGCAAAACTAATGTCATACTTCAAATAACAATTGTTGCCAAAAATAAACAGCCATGGTTCAAATTGAATAAACATTTTAATTAAAAGAAAAATCTTTAAAATCTCTAAAATAGCTATTTTATATTTTTCTAGCATCATTCAAATTATGGTTAAGTCTTAGCTATTGAGAACCTTGTTTATAAATTATATTTATTAATTTTCTTACTATCACTGATAAATGATTACCATATTCAGTGAGAATGAAATCTCTCTCTCTCTCTCTCTCTCTCTTACTCACTCCCTCATTCTTTTCATTTACAACATGTATAATTATATTACTATTACATTTACTATGTATTACCAATTTATTAAATAGCACATACAGTATATAATTTAAGTCCTAATTCATTGGCACGCGTTTTGTGTTTAAATTAACGTCATTTCCGAGAATACTGTAT